TCAAACTTCTACTTCCGCATCCACTGTTTCTAACTTTCCTGACATTCCTGGTGTAAGCAAAGAGGCATGGACAGCCATCAAATCTCTTTTGAAAACTGATTCTGCTTCATCTGAGAAACTTTTTGGTAAGACAAATTGTGTTGATTTTTTAATTGATTCAGGCGCTTCACATCACATGACTGGTTTTCTGGATTTACTTACTGAGATTTATGAGATTCCTCATAGCATTGTTGTTCTTCCTAATGCTAAACACACGATTGCTACTAAAAAAGGCACGCTAGTTCTCGGTCCAAAGATGAAACTTACACAAGTGTTATTTGTGCCCGATCTCTCGTGCACACTCATCTCCGTTGCTCGCCTTCTACATGAGCTGCATTGTTTTGCAATATTCACTGATCAAGTTTACGTGATACAGGACCGTACTTCCAAGATGCTGATTGGAATTGGTGAAGAGAAAAATGGAGTTTATCACTTACAAGGAGCTGGAGCTGTTGTAGCGAGTGCTAACACGGTTAAGAAGAAAACCGACAAGGTCTTATGGCATATGCGGCTAGGACATCCATCTACTAAAGTGTTATCTTCTGTTTTAACTTCTTTAGAGGATTTTGATAGTTGTAGTTCCGATTTAAAGACGATTTGTGACGTTTGCGTTCGAGCCAAACAAACTCGAGCTGTTTTTTCTTAAAGTTCAAATAAAGCAGAGGAATGTTTTTCTTTGATTCACTGCGATGTCTGGGGACCTTACAATCTTGCTTCCTCTTACGGAGCTCACTATTTTCTAACTATTGTAGATGATCACTCTCGCGCCGTTTGGACTCATCTTATGCTAGCTAAAAGTGAGGTCGCCTCTTTACTTCAAAAGTTCATTGCTATGGCATCTCGCCAATTCAACAAACAAGTTAAAATAGTAAGAAGCGACAATGGTACTGAATTCATGTGTTTAAAGTCATACTTTGCTGAAAGAGGAATTGTTCATCAAACGTCATGCGTCTATACACCTCAGCAAAACGGGCGTGTCGAGCGTAAGCATCGCCACATCTTGAACGTTGCAAGATCACTCTTATTTCAAGCTGAACTGCCCACAAGTTTCTGGGGCGAGAGTGTTCTTACGGCTGCCTATCTAATCAATCGAACTCCAACTCCAATTCTTGATGGAAAAACTCCATATGAAGTTCTCTACTCCAAACCACCAACTTATGCTGAACTACGGGTATTTGGAAGTCTCTGTTTTGCAAAGAAACATTCGGCTCGTTCAGACAAATTCCAAGAGCGAGGACGAAAAGGTATTTTTGTTGGATATCCTCATAGACAAAAAGGTTGGAGAATTTATGATCTTGAATTGAATGAATTTTTTGTCTCTCGTGATGTTATCTTCCAAGAAGATTGCTTTCCCTTTGCTGCGAACAAGAATGTCGTTACAAAATCTTCATCTCCTAATAGCATTCCATCTCCATTTTTGGCTTATGATGATGACACGGAACAGAGTAATGTTGTTCCTTCTGCAACTCCTCTTCCGCCTCCTATTCCAGTCAATGATTCACCTCCAAGCTCTCCTATTAATACGGTCACTCCAGTTGTTGCGCCTCCTGTTCCTCTTCGTCGTGGGCTGCGTAATAGACAAGAGTCTGTTCGTCTTAAAGACTATAAAACTTATGCGGTGCAATGTGATCCTATCTCTGTTTCACTAATACCCGATCCTCTCTCCGACAATATTGGTACGTGTGTATATCCTATGGCTAACTTTGTGTCTTGTGAACGGTTCTCTGAGAGTCATAAACACTTCTTAGCTGAAATAAGCATGTTTGATCCACTGCTCACATATAATCAAGCTGTTCAAGAAAAAGAATGGCGCAATGCTGTCTCCTTTGAAGTTGATGCTCTTGAAGATCAAGGTACTTGGGATATTACAAAGCTTCCTCGTGGAGTTAAAGCTATTGGTTCTAAGTGGGTATTTCGCATTAAATACAACTCTGACGGCACTATAGAACGCTACAAAGCCCGACTTGTAGCTTTGGGAAATCATCAAAAAGAAGGTGTTGATTTTACTGAAACCTTTGCTCCGGTTGTTAAGATGCAAACTGTGAGACTTCTCTTGGACATAGCGGCAGCAAAAAACTGGGAACTTCATCAAATGGATGTTCATAACGCCTTTCTTCACGGCGATTTGAAAGAAGACATCTATATGAAACCACCTCCGGGATTCAAGACAACAGATCCTTCTCTCGTTTGCAAATTAAAAAAATTTATCTACGGTTTGAAGCAAGCGCCTCACTGTTGGTTCGAAAAGCTATCCACATCTCTCATCAAGTTTGGCTTCGTTGAGTCCAAAAAGGATTGCTCTCTCTTTACGTCAATCTGAGGATCAAAAGTTCTACATGTCATCGTATATGTCGACGATCTTGTCATTTGCGGCAATGATGCTTCTGTTATAGCCAAATTCAAAGTCTATCTCAGCCAATATTTCAAAATGAAAGATCTTGGTCATTTGAAATACTTCTTAGGTATTGAAGTAGCAAGAAGTCCAGAAGGTATATTTTTATCTCAAAGGAAATATTGTCTTGATGTTATAGAAGAATGTGGACTTTCTGGTTCACGGCCTACGGAGACACCATTGGAACAAAATCATAAACTAGCTTCCTCCACAAGTTCGCTATTCCCAGAACCAGACAAGTATCGTAGACTTGTGGGAAGACTCGTCTATCTCACCCATACTAAGCCGGAGATATCCTATGCTGTTAATATGCTGGCACAATTTATGCAGAAACCACTATCCGACCATTGGGATGCAGCTCTCAGACTTGTTCGATACTTAAAAGGCTGTCCCGGACAAGGTATTCTCCTCTCCTCCGCCTCTAACTTACAACTTACGGGCTATAGTGATTTTGATCATGCAGGCTGTCCGCTTACACGCCGATCTTTGACGGGTTATTTGGTGAAACTTGGTAACCCTCCGGTCTCTTGGAAAACTAAGAAACAAGACAAAGTCTCCCGCTCTTCAGCTGAAGCAGAATATCGTGCCATGGCCATGACATGTCAAGAACTTATGTGGGTTAAAGAAGTTCTCCTCTCGCTTGGTGTTTTGCATGATCAGCCTATGCATCTTGTTTGTGACAGTCAATCTGCTCTTCATATTGCTTCGAATCCTGTGTTCCACGAAAGAACGAAACATATAGAAACCGATTGTCACTTTATACGAGACGAGTATACTGCTGGCAACTTAGCATTCTCTCACGTCTCTACCACTGTTCAGCCAGCTGACATTTTCACGAAAGCTCTCGGAAGCCAACAGTTTCGATTTCTACGGGACAAGTTGGGCGTTTGCAATCTTCACGCTCCAACTTGAGGGGGAGTAATACGATAATGATACATTCCTTATTAGATATATGTTAATATTCTTGTGTATATTAGTTTAGATCCCTATACCTAACATCTTGTACTATATATACTTAGATCATTGATCAATAATAATCAAAGAATTCTATTGACTTTGGCATTGAATTCCAAGTCTTATACTCTAAATAAATGGGATAATGCTATCATATTTCTCATATATATCTTTGAAAATGTATGGTATCTCATGAAACCTTGTCTCTACTTTAGGCTTGGGATCACACAGTCGTATTTAGTTGTAAAAGAGGCATGATTCGTCTTTTGATTTGATTTGGTGGTCTGTCAAAGTTAGAAAATTTTGAGTTGGTGGATCCTTCTTTCGATTTGTTAACTATATATAATGGTAACCAAATAAAATCTTTGTCAAAATCTCATGTCATTCTTTATTTAAAATATTTTAATGCAACATTGACCACTTTCTTTTATAATCAAAAGATCTAAACTGTTTATACTTCAATTTTCGTTTAGGTACCAACCGTTTGTAATAGACTAATTATAGACACAAAAACATAAAATAATTAAACAATGTATCTTCAATCCAACATATGTAGTTCTAATGGTGTACTGATGAACCTTCTAAAGAGAGTGCACTTCAAGATAACGAATTCGAGTTGATGTTAGAAAAATATTAATGTACCTGCTCTAGATCTTGGTCCAAAAATACTATTCCTTCTGTCGTTAATTATTATCTTTTATTAGTTATCTGGGAAAAAAAAAAATCCATCTTCATGGGATAACTAAATAAACAAAGACTCAGTTTTGTTACCATATATATGAGCTAAACGGTGGACTAATATATACAAACATCGTTAAACTTACGTTCAAGACTTCAAGTATATCATTGAATATTTGAATATAGTTGTTGGGTTATCTTGAAGACATGCAGGTAAATTTGTTTCGATTCTTTAACAAAAAAAAAAATTTGTTTCGATTCTCATACAATATTATTAAATGGGAACGTACGTACAACTAATCCCATTATACAAAAGATTAATCGTATAAACAACGGGAAAAGATACAAAACTAAAATCTCCTCAAGTCAACACTTAAAATCTCTGCTTGTTTGTTTCACTTTGTGTTTCTTAACATTGTGGTTCGGAATCGGTGTTTCTTCTTCGGGCCTCTGCTTGTTGTTTCACTTTGTGTTCTTGTCGTGTTTTTCTCTTGTATTCGTAGATCTTTCAGTCATAGTTTTTGGTCTTTCTGATTTCTTTGTTTTCTCTATATTGGCTGCGCACACTACAAGAAATTTGGTCATTGGTAGTACACTGAAAACGCTACTATATCGATTTGGTAGCGTTTTCATGAACGCTATGACAGGAGGAGCTATAATAGCCTCACCCCATATGATAGCATTTTTCGGAATGCTACGGAAAATGAACGTATCATAGCGATAGTTTTATGCTATAGGATAGTTTTTTCTAGCACTTGTTTCGTGCTATTATGTACTCTTTCATGGCTTTGTATTAGTGCCATGAAATATTTCATTATGACACAATTAAAATGTTGTTGAATATTGTTTCGTTACAGTTATGGCTGCCAAAATTGTGCACCTATTCGATCACGATAATCAATTCTGGGATTTATAAAATCTATTGTGAAATAAAAAATCATAAAGACCAATGCTTTTCCATTTAAGATCCAAAGCATACAAAGTGTACATATTTAAATCATGAACAATAAGAGAGAACATGTAAACATACATCACTAAGTCATAAACAAAACAGAAAGTCATGTCTTAGACTGATCAAGTTCTCAAACATAGCCGGCTAAACTTAAAAACAGTAAACATGCTTCAGTCTCAAAATAAGCAATTGAGTTCACTCCTGAAAAACAAAAATATCTTAGATTAGTATGACATATTTTCCCATTTATATGTAAACCCTTAAGTATATATTGTTTTCACATACCTTTTCAGATGAACCCATGACTTTTCACATTAACAAGATTAAACAGTCTGATTAACTCTCTCTGATCTCTATTTCTCATTCGTTTTCTCTTAAACAGTCCAAGAACTTTGTCACATCATAAACCTATATAAAACCATCAACATGAAACACACGAAAAAATGTAAACTTTGTGACTATCTTCCCTAATTCCACACAATCAGAGACATAAATCAAGTGGGTTTTCAAATTTTCACTCATCAAACATACAAGAACCTCATTAGCTCACTAGCTTTAACCACATATACAAGATCAAACAGAGACATAAAATGGCTTCTTAAGCAGCGCCAACTATCACATTCAATTACAAAAACTAAGTTTTTAGCAACTCTCTGTGATTTAGACATAGCAAACAAACACAAATCTCATGTATCAGAGACACAAATCAAGTGGGTTTTCAAATTTTCACTCATCAAAACATACATGAACCTCACCACTAGTAGCTTTAACCACAGACACAATATCAAAAAGAGAAACGGGAGTGGCTTCTTAAACAGTAACACCTATCACATTCAAATAAGAATCTAGCAAAGAGTAAATTTTTTTAGCAATTCATTAAGATTTATAAATATAGCAAACTAACATATATCTCGCAAATTAGATAAGATCTATCCACAAAATTGTTACCACATAACTCTAAGATTTATAAATCTAAGTTAACACAACTTCACAATTTCGGATCTCACGAAGATTAAATGCAAAATCGGATCATAAAATCTAAGAGAAAACGAATGAGAAATAGAGATCGGAGAGAGTTAATCTTGTATTAAACCAATCAAGAATTTCAAAGTCAAAAACAATGGAACTTGCAAACAAGACAAACTCCTTTAAGCTTTGGTTTTGTGGGTTTTAGTCGTCTTCACCCCAGCAAAAAGATCCAACCTGAAACAAGACAAACTGCTTTAAGCTTCTCAATGTATGTCTCAATTTCTATTGTAGAAAACAAAAAAACAAAACCAGATTTCAAACGAATATAAGAGCCATAACCTGAAGATTGTAAAGGAGATTGATTCTCTTGCTTTTATTCATGTTAGGTCCTCAAAGATTTCTCTAGGGCTTCGATTCTTGCTACAATGAGAGTTCGAATTAAGAAAATGAGAATGACGATTAGATCTAGAGTTTATTACTCTAGATCTAGAGTTTATTACTCTAGATCTAGAGTTGATTACTTGTCGTGGGTTTCTTATTCGATATTGGAGGTGGAATAGAGCTACGGAGACGACACCAACTCAGCGACGGAGACGACACCAGCTAAAGGGTTGATTTCCTTTTCGAAACCAGAGGGAAATCGAGGCATCGAAGGTTGAGAAATGACTGGAAATCGAGGGAATCGAGGCGATGGAGGTTGAGGAATGACTGGAATTGGGTTTTCTAGTGACCAGAAACCGGATTCGTGGTGTCGGCAAAGGTTCAGATTTTTTAGAGAAAAATGACCTAAGTGTTTGCTTTTGTTAGTGTTTGGCTAAAAGTGTGAGAGTCGTGGAAAAAACAAAGTTTTGGCTAAGTGTTTTGCCTCTAAAATAATTTTTCCTGCTATAGAAGTGATTTTTGGGTTCCCGCTTAATGAAATATTTTCCCAGCACTAACTTAATGCTACAATATAGTTGTCATCCGATTTTGTCACTTTTAATAGCAATTAGTGAATTAGTGCTACAATGATATGCTACCAATGACCAAATTTCTTATAGTGACAACTTGAAAATGGTATAAATACTTAACATTGTTACAAAAAAAAAAAATCTCTTTTAAAAAGGTTAAAATCTTAATAATTTGTAAATGGGGTTGGCGAAAGTATATCATTAATTGGCTGACCAAAACCGATGGACTCACCTGTTAGTGGATAAATGAAACTTAATAAATGAAATCGATAACTTCGACCCTATCCATTGGTGGAATCACTTGCCACGTTTTTTAATAATTTTAATCTTTAAAATCCTCTTTTTATTTACGTGTTTGATCTTCTTCCTCCCATTATTAATATCTTGCATTCTTGCTGAAAAAAAAATTATAAACATAGAGGAAAACGAATTCCATTCATAAACGCTATTAAAATCTTAAATATGTTTGAGACGAGAAGAAAGTCGAAAACATGTTATGTACTAGGAGTATAGTAATAACACTAATTACTGTGATCTTTTGTTTTTTGCCACTTACTTTTTTTGGTTAGTTATTTTCAATATCTTTGTAACGTTTCTATATTTTAAGAACGTAATAAAATTTAAGTATGCATATATTGTAAATTTTGCCTAAGTTCAAATGGGACTCGAACTATAGGGATCTAAGCTTTGCCTAAGTGATCACTTATCGATATTGCTTACATGATTTATCGAAACGATTGTAATACTAGCTAGTTAGTTTCATATTTTTCATCTAATACAAGTAAGAATTATTAACCAATTCATTGCTGATAATTTATCCTAATTGAGCTGATAATATTTGCTAGGTTTTTACTTTTTAATTTTTACTGTATTGGTTAGTAGGGGTTTTTTTTTTATAGTATATAATTACGATATCTTTTTATTGCATCATTTGTATACGATAATGAGAATGCCACGCAAGCATTTTACGGGACCTATTTTCTTCGCATGCAAAGTTTCGAAGACTAAAAAATCCGGCGGCTACGTTCTCATTTTACACGATAATGAGATTGCTTAGTTACTTACTTAATATTTGACCCAAAAAAAAAAAAGTTACTTACTTAATATTGTTTCGACGAATTTAACAAAAACAGAAAATTGCCATATTTAAATGAAAAATGAGAGTCAAAAAATGGAAAAAGGAGTATTCAAAATAGAAAAGTAAAAAAGAGAATATTAAAAAAAAAAACTATCTCAAGAGGCTATAGATAAAGTGGGACCCAAGAAAATCTTTTCGACAACGTGGCTGATCAGATCGGGCCCCACATGGTTTTGTGGAATTTGGATAAGTCTCTCTTTTTTTTTCTTTCCCACGGTCTCTTATCTTGTCATGGAAATTTGAAACAAATCCTCCAAAAATATACTAAAATAAATTAAGAAAAACAACACCATTAACCACTCATTTCATATTCAAATTTTACAAGATTGTGTTGTCTTTTCAAAAAAGGTTTTCGATATTATGATAAATTGTTGAAGCTACCATGAAAAATACTGATCACTCAAATTAGTAATTTTATTGTCTATTTATTCCGTTTCTTCTATTTGTTGTTAATATCTCTCTATTTTTGGTCGACTTCTATTACTTGTTAACACTTTTTTACTTTGCATTAAATTGAAGAAATATATCAAATTAATACTTTCTTATCTAAGAATATTATTTATTTTGTAACTTTTATTTTAAATTCAACATTCAATATTGCGTAATTTCATTATAAACATATATTTTCTATTTTTATATCATAATTTAAAATTTATCAGTCTTACAAATTCTCTTACTTTACTTATTTTTAACACAATTATTCAGCTATGAATTTTTTCTCATGTAAGTATGTTACATAAAAATTGGAAATAGTTACTACAACCCATATGTAAAATTTAAATGAGAGATACTCTCATCTTAAGCAGTAATTGTTAAAACTCAAATATCAATGGTTTATATCGTTAATAAAATAACCAAAACTAGAAAAAATTCAATTTGTTTTTTGAAACTAAATATTTTTAATAAGCAAATTTTAAAATCTTTGAACAACAGTTTTTGTTTTCTATAATATATTTTTATAACTTCAATCAATTAAATTATGATGATCTAAAAAGTAACCGTTTTTATTATTTATAACTCACACATGCATATTTTCCAGTTTAAACATGAACGACATGATGGTAACGTTAGTTACATAGTAGTATCCGTCAATATTCAAAAAAATTGACCGTTTTTATCATTTATAATTATAACTCATATATGCATATTGTCTAGTTTAAACGTGAATTATAATATGATTATGGCATTAGTTACATAGTAGTGTTCGTCAAATATTAACATATTAATATATACTTAGTATTAAGTCTCCTTTAGCTTGATACTATAAATACTCTGTTGTATCATTACTTTTTCCTTAATGAGAAATTTCACAATTAGTTCTGAATGTTAACATGGTATCAGAGCAAAAATAATTTTCTCATTCCTATTTTCCCGGAAAAGTGATTAACGGAAAACAGATTTTCGATCTTCTTCTTCTTCTTCCATAGAAAATTTCTATATCAATCTTCAATTCATCATCATCTCCATCATCCTCCATCTTTTTCTACATCGATTCATCGATTCATCGCCTCAACGAGCTCATCGAACATCGACTCGTTATTCATCAATTTTCTTCATATTTCTTGCTTACATCGCAATCACTTTTCTTGGAATTCATTCTTCCGCTAATCGAATCAGCTTCGTTTTTCTCTCGATCGATCTAATCTTGAACAAATCTTGATCTGTTTTTCAAAGTTTTTGTGATGACTTCTGGTGAATCTTCCCGTCAGACAATGGATCACTACAATAATCCATACTATCTTCATAACTCCGATCATGCTGGTTTAGCATTGGTGTCAGATCGTCTTGAAACAGGCGCAGATTTCCATTCTTGGCGAAGATCAGTACGCATGGCGCTTAATGTGCGCAACAAACTTGGATTCATAGACGGTACAATTCTTAAACCATCTGAGAATGATAGAGATTTTGGATCATGGTCTCGTTGCAATGACATGGTAGCGACTTGGCTTATGAATTCTGTTTCGAAAAAGATTGGTCAAAGCTTGTTATTCATATCTACGGCTGAAGGAATTTGGAAAAGTTTGATGTCACGATTCAAACAAGATGATGCTCCTAGAGTATATGAGATTGAGCAACGTTTGAGTGTTATTCAACAGGGATCTTTAGATGTCAGTGCTTATTATACTGAATTGGTTACCTTATGGGAAGAGTATAGAAATTATGTGGAGCTTCCTTTATGCACTTGTGGAAAGTGTGAATGCAGTGCTGCTACTCTTTGGGATAAATTGCAACAGAGAAGCAGAGTAACAAAGTTCTTAATGGGTCTAAATGAGTCCTATGAAGCTACTCGCAGGCATATCCTCATGTTGAAGCCTATTCCATCTATTGAAGAAGTATTCAATATGGTCACTCAGGATGAACGTCAGAAGAATATCAAACCTATGTCTAAGAATGACAATGTGGTGTTTAATACTCAGGATAACTCTCAGTCTGCAGTTGGTAGTACAATGAATAAGCATCCTTATTCTGGTTATTATGATGGAAGTGTACAAACTGGTCAACATGTATATCAAGGTCCTCTAGATAACAATATCTATGCTGCAATGCAGTCTCAGTACAGACCTAGAGCACCAAGACCAGTGTGCACTCATTGTGGCCAAACTGGTCATGTTATTCAAAAATGCTTTAAACTCCATGGTTATCCTCCAGGATATATACCAGGATTTAAAAGCTCTGGAGGTTATCAGACTCATAATGGAGGATATCAAGTTCAGTCTGCATCAAGACCTCCTAATCCATCATTCAACAACAATTTTCAACCTAGGGCGCAGTACTCTAGTCCCAGACCATCGACACATGCAATTGCTAATGTCATGACTGGTGCATCTGGTTCAAATTCTCCGGCTATATCAACAACCAATTTGGATGTGAGTCAGATGAATAAAGAACAGGTGCAATCCCTAATACAACAACTGAATACTCATGTTCAAGTTTCAGAGAATCAAGCACCTTTCCCATTAGTTGCTTCTGTTACACAGAATGGTATTATGGATCCGCAATCTTCTTCTGGTACTGTCTCTTTTCCATCTACCTCTCTTCGTTTTGAAAATAACAAACTCACATTTCAACATCAATGTCTATCTTCTCTCTATAATCATCTTCCTCAGGGTAGTTGGATAATTGACAGTGGAGCTACAAGTCACGTTTGCTCTGACTTGGCTTTATTCAATGAAACTGTGACTGTTACTGGTGTTACAGTTTCTTTACCTAATGCAACTAGAGTGGATATAGCACACACTGGCACAATACATTTATCTACATCTCTAGTTTTGCATGATGTTTTACATGTACCTTCTTTCAAATTTAATCTCATATCAGTTAGCAGCTTATTAAAACATAGTCAAGCATCAGCTCATTTTTTCCCTGATTTTTGTTATATTCAGGAGTCTATTCAGGGCTTGATGATTGGTAGAGGCTTTCTGCTTCATAATCTTTACATACTGCAGCTTGATGCATCTTCATCTCACACTCTCTCATCTCCTGCTCATCAACATTTCTCTGGATCCTTGGCGGTAGATGGACATCTCTGGCATCAACGCCTTGGACACCCATCTTCTGACAAGTTAAAATTGTTGTCTGGTACTCTTTCTATGTCTAAAAGTAGTTCTTTAATTGAGTCTCATTGTTCAGTCTGTCCTTTAGCTAAACAAAAAAGGTTAAGTTTTGAGTCACACAATCACATGTCTTCATCCCCGTTTGATCTTATCCATTTAGATGTTTGGGGTCCTTTTAAAGTTGAATCTGTAGAAGGCTATAGGTACTTTCTCACTATAGTTGATGATCATACCCGTGTAACTTGGATCTATATGCTAAGGAATAAAAGTGATGTTTCTA